AGGCATGTGGCCACAGCAAGAAGAAAAGTAACCAGTGCATGGTCCAAGGTTGGAAGCCTGCATCTGGGGACGGCTTTTAAGTTTCTCTGGTACCACTGGTGGAACTCAGTGTTCTTGCACACTCTAGACAGGTGCTCTACCATGGATCTGCACAGCAACTCTTCTTAAGACAAAAGCTCACTACGTAGCTCTGGCTGTCCGTAAACTGCAGATTCTCCTGTGACAGTTTTCTTAAGTGTTGTTATTACAAGCATGACAGCTAGCAGCTTCCTACAAAGCCAAGCCCAGTGTGACATGGCTGGCCTACCTACCCCACAAGGAGTGGTAATGCCGATAGCTGCTTTTCCTCCCTCCTGCTATGGGCTGGAAGGCCTGTCATCCCAGAGCTACTACAGTGGGGCCTTGCCTTCCACTTCCTGTGGTTCTCTACTTTATCTTCCAGGAAGAAGGAGGAAGCAGGGATGCCCCCTGCTGATCATGGAGTCCCTTTCCAAAGGGATCTGTATTCTCTCTGAGACTACAAGGTTAGGCCGCTCATCTGTGACCATTATACTGCCTTAATAGAAATTCTAGAATTACAGGTTGAGTATACAGCTCAGTAGATTAGTGCTTGCCTAGTATGTGCAAGCTCATGAATTCCATCTCCAGCACTTAAACAAAACAAACAGTTTCCAGAATGTATTTATTTATATAGATAGATATAATATATAATAATATGACTATATATACATATATGTGTGTATATACAAACATGTATATATATTTCATACTGGGTATGTGGAGCATGCCTTTCAATCCAGTACTCAGGTGGATCTCTGTTAGTTTGAAACCAGCCTGGTCTACATGGTGAGCACCAGACCAATCAATTCAGTCAATATGAAAAGTAATATCTAGAAGCTGGAAATGTACCTCAGTGGTAGCATGTGTGAGGCCCTAGGTTTCACCCCAGCACCAAAAACATACCTTAATGTCGTAGCAGTTTTATTCATATTCAGGTAAAATTAAAAGCAATGAAGGTATCTCTCAAAGCTGGACAGTGATGGCATATCTGTGTGAGTTCGAGGCCAGCCTGGTCTAGAAAGTGAGTTCCAGGACAGCCAGAGCTACACAGAGAAACCCTTCTTAATTATAGCAGTTTCTTAAACTTCACTTGGTTTTCTCTCCTTTTTTTGTTTTGTTTTGTTTTGTTGTTGCTGTTTTTCTTTTTTCTTTTCCTCTTTGTGTGTGTATGTGTGTGTGTCTGTGATTTACAAGACAGGCTTTCTCTGTATTGCTTTGAGACCTGTCCTGGAACTAGCTCTGTAGACCAGGCTGGCCTTGAACTCATGGAGATCTGCCTGCCTCTGCTTCCTGAGTACTGGGATTAAAGGCGTGTGCCACCAACACCCAGCTTGTTGTTTTTCAAGACATGTCAGGCTGGGCTATATGAGATTCTGTCTCAAAACAATAAACAATAAAAATAATAAGTAATAAATGAAAGATTCACACACACACACACGAGCTCCATAATAAGTTGAACAATAAAATCAAACATGTTGGTCTTTAACTCAAAATATAAAACAAATACCCATGAGCCCATAAGGATATCAGTAAATAAATAAATAAATGTATTATTTGGGACAAATATCCCACACAGAAGAATTTGATGTAGGTATTCTATTTTCATGGAGGGGAAAAATAGTTCTTCCCCTTTTTGTCTTATTTGTATTTTATTCTACTTATTGTGCCAGCCCTCAGGATCAATCAACGGGAACCCTGAGGGAGGGAGGGAGAATGAGGAGACAAGAGACTCAAGAGATGGAGACAAGACAGTATTCTGATCAAGTCTCGCTTATTGAATATAACCACAAGGTTTAAGTAGTGGAGAAATGAGGGAATGGGCCAAAGAGAAGATGTGAGGGAGGCAGACTGTCTTTCCAAGCAGAATGCAGGTGTTCTGCACAGTAAGCCTGCAGCTGGGACTCTTTCAGGGTCAGGCTTCATCATATGGTGAACAGGAAAACAGTCATAGGGGAATGGAAAATTACCAGTATGTTAGTATCTAAGACAGTAGTAGGAAAGATGGCTGTTAAGATGCTAACTCTGCTCTGGGGTTCCCCACAACTTATTTTGTTTTTTAAAGATTTAAGTTATTATTTACTAATGTCTATGTATGTATACATGTATATGCAATGCCAGCAGACGCCAGGAGGGAACATCAAACTTTAGAATTGGAGTTATGGATGGCCTGTGAGCTATCCTGTGAGTGCTGGAGTGGATAGAGGCTCTCAGGAGGCAGAGGCAGGCAGATTTCTGAGTTTGAGACCAACCCAGTCTACAGTTCCAGGATAGCCAGAGCTACACAGAGGAATCCTGTCTCGAAAAACAAAAACAAAGCTAAACAAAGAAAAAACCCAAACCAAACAAATCGAAACTGGGCTCTCTGGAAGTGTCCAACAACTTGGGAGGCAGAAGCAACCAGAACTTTGAGGCAGAAGCAACCAGAACTCTGAGTTTGAGGCCACTCTAGTCTATGTAGCCATCCAGGGCTACATAGTGAGACACTATCTATAAATAAACGAACAACTAACAATGAATTATTTCGGGGCTGGAGAGATGGCTCAGGAGTTAAGAGCCTGCTTACAGACTATGTGGTGACAGGACCCTGGCAGGTGAGAGGGGGCACATAATGCCTAAACCCTTACATTAGTAGTATAGGATAATAATGGAAGGTAGTATAGTGGGAAAACTGCATACAGAGTACATGAGGACACTCAATGTAAGGATTCAGGCATTATGCTGGCCTGCCCTGTCACCTGGCAGAATGCACTCAGGCAGTAAGCACCCTGGTCAGCCCAGGGTTCCACGGCTGCTCCATCACTACACAGGTGCAAAGGACTCTTTAAAAATAAAAACCCTGCACACTTCTGCTCTCTTTTCTCGCTGTTCCTCTCTTTGTCTCTTTACTTCTTTTCCTTCCCCCCCTCCCTTCCCTTTCTAACAAAACTTCCCACTTAAGCTCTGTCTGCCTGGCATGTTTGTCTCTGGTCAGCCATGGAATCCACCAAGGTTCTCCATGAGCATTATTGTAACAGTATCTTTACAATTTCTGTGCAATGTTCAGGAAATTAAAATGTTCAGAAAACTTCTAAAAGTTAAGATTAACTCTGAAAAAAAATAACACCTTAAAATACGTCAATCTCCAGGGCATTCAGCATTAAAGACAGGAGGTGCAAACCAATAATTCGGAATCTTTAGCACCCAGAGGACTGGATGAAAGACAGATGGACAGGGTTCTACCTGCAGACCTTTTAGTTCAGAAGGTTTCCAGCGAGGCTAGATGTATTTTTAAGTTCCCAGGTACTGCTGCTGCTATAGGACCACCATTTTGAGAACCGGAGGCTTCAAACACAGGATGTGAAACTAAGTGTGGTGTCACACTGTCACTCAGTATGGCAGCAGGCCTGAAATCTCCAGCACTCCACAGGCTGAGGCGAGGAGATGTTGAATTCAAGGCCCCTGTAGGCTACACACAGCAAGGCTGTCTCACAAACAGCAAATTATATGACTCAGATCTGCCCCCCAGGGATCCTAGGAACTCACAGACTAGTGCAGTAGGGAAATTAACAACCGCTAAATAAGAACAATAGGTGTATGTTTGAGGAGCAAAGTAGGATGAGGCTGAATATGGACAATTTGGAAAAGCCATCAGAAGATGCTCAAGGGCATCCTGACCTGGACACCACGAAAGAAAGGGCAGGAACCTCCAGGAAATGGGAAGAATTCTATCAACTCCGACTTTCCAGTAAATTTAACTGAACACGATCTCAACCTTTCCTTTGGAATATGCCCCACAGATATCGCTGCCATTTTACAAGGGGTTTCTGAGAAGAAAGGTAACTTGTCTACCGTCAATCAGATAGTAGGACGGAAGATGCAAATCGGAACTCAGCGGTGAGTAGGGTAGGTAGTTGAGTGTTACTCGGGTCTGCCTCTTCCTGCCACCCAGATGACGGCCCTAAGCCCCTGCCTTCTTTCAGCAAGCCTTCTCGCTCCCCTCTTTTCCAGTTTCTTTCCGTGGGTTCTCTCACGATGAACCACAAGGACAAGAGACAAGTTTGCTCTCTGTAATGAAAGCCTCGCTGGAGAGGAGATGGAAATCCTTGTCTTGACCTGCCCGGCCTCCTCTAGGTCATTGCGAGGATCAAGAGCTTAATACGCTCAAGCTTTGTTCCCTGGCTGGTCTTCAAGTCGGTCTCCCTCGGCTCCCCGCAGCTGGCCACACCCTATTGGTAGATTCTACAAACATTTTATTTGGCCTGAGGGGATGGGTGCTGTCCAGCAGGTGTCCCGTCACCCCGGCGGGCGGGACCGCTGTTTCCGGGCTGTTCTGGCAACCGAACAGAGCTGGGCGTGGCTGCGGTCCGGCAACCCCAAACCGAGATGACCCGTGTTAAAGGACGACCGCAGGGAGCCCGCCATCCGCAGGAGCTGCCCAACGCTCTGCTCTCGGCCTCTCCATCCACTCAGGAATCCACGGCCCGTCCCAACTCCGGGACAGAGATAAAACCTCCGCGCCGGGTCACACACCCGGCCGAGAGCCGCCGCGGGCCTTGGAGCCGGAGCTAGGAGAGTTAACCCAACCTGCTCCGGCCGAGGCCGAGGGCCGGGCCGCTGCGAGCGCCTCCCATTGGTCGCTGAGCCGGCTCTGCGCTCATTGGCGGAGGCGCTCGGCTGCGGCTCTTGAAGAGAGTCCCCATTGGCGCTGCGTTCCACCGTCTGGAGAGTGGCGGCCCGGCCTCTACAAGCTACCCCGGGTAAAGGTGCTCCAGCTCCGTAGCTACCTTGCCAAGCTCATCCTTAGCCGCAATTTTAACTTCCTTCGTGACCCTCCTCTTGCTTGTCGCCAAACCACCTCCGGGTCTTCTCTCTGATTCTTTTCTTCTTGTTGCTTTTCTTTTTCCTTCTCTCCAGCTACCATTCCTCAACTCCGCGTTTCCCCAAAACATTCCCTGGTCTCCCTAGCCTGTAATCCCAGGCATTCCCCCACTTGCCACCTTCTAACTTCTGCTCCTCCTTGACCTCAGATCCCTTGGTCTGGCCTTCTCGCCAGACTCTTCTACACTCTTTCTCCCCCTCTTTTCCCACCCTTTGACTCCCAAGTTCCTTCTAACCTTATTTCACTTCTTGACATTTGACCCTGACATTTTAGCTCTCTAAATTTCTACCTGTTGTAGCCTGGACTGCAAAAAGCCAGGTGTTGCCCTGATATTCATCCCTGCTTTTGGAGGCCTTTGCTACCCCAACCATGGACTTCTTGATGAGTGGTATAGCAGCCTGCGGGGCCTGTGTGTTCACCAATCCCCTGGAGGTTGTGAAGACCAGAATGCAATTGCAGGGAGAACTGAAGGCCCCTGGAACCTACCAGCGCCACTACCGAAACGTCTTCCATGCCTTCTTCACCATTGGCAAGGTGGATGGCCTGGCCGCCTTGCAGAAGGGCCTGGGCCCTGCGCTCTTGTACCAGTTCCTAATGAATGGCATCCGACTGGGCACCTACGGGCTGGCAGAGTCTAGGGGATACCTGCGCACTGATGAAGGTGCCCACAGTCCTGTCCGAAGTGCTGCAGCTGGGGCCCTAGCTGGGGTCATGGGAGCCTATCTGGGAAGCCCAATCTACATGGTAAGAAGGGAGTCTTGTCTGGGACCTTCAAAAAAGACCCTTGGTGTTAGGTGGGAGCCTACCCTTCACAAGGGCATTGGTGACAGGGCGCTGCCTCCCTGAGAAATCATAGGAAAGTGCTGGAAAGCTTCAAGGCCTTCCATCTGCCTTATACACACCCACCCAACAGACTGCAATGTGTTCATGAAGATTACAGATTTTGCTTCTGGATACTTCTTTGAGCAGGCGTGTTTGTTTGTTTGTTTGTTTGTTGAGGCAGGGCCTCCCTCTACAGTAGTGTCAAAACTTCTGTAGCACAGCCAGGCTTCAAACCCACTGTCCAGCCTAGCTTCTCAGTGCTTCAGTTAACAGATGTGCATCATATCTGTCTGCAGCTGAGCTTTGGAATCAGACCTTCTGAAACTCAGGTCCTGGCTTTGAAAACTATTTGTTGGTGCCACATCTATAAAACAGGAATAATTATAGACTTTTGTGTGGTTGTTTGGGAGGATTAAAGTAGACAAATGAGATGAACATGTGAAGCACAGTATAGGTCCTGACAATATTCCTTATTTGTCTATTTTTGGATACAGGGTCTGGCTACATGGCCTAGGCTGGTCTGAAAGTGGCTATGGACCCAAGCTGGCATCTTGATCCTCCTTGCCTTTGCCACCAGAGGGCTTTGAATACAAACATGTGCCACCCTGCCCGGTGATCCCATATAGCTTTTATTGTCTTATTATTGCCCAACACTGAGGCTGACTTTGTGTGTAGGCAGGATGAGAATCTGAGTAACATGCATCAGTGAGTGTAGGATCAGGAGGGTCCTGGGTATCACAGAATCGCAGTCTCCGTTTTCTCCTTTGAGTTATCAAATATAGGTGAAGGGTTGGGAGCCTGAGACCCAGAGATGGTAGGTGCCCTGCTCAAGGTTACACAGCTGTTTATTGTTGGGACTAGGCCAGGCTTAGTGCAGCTAAGATATTGAAATGATCTATAGGAGAGCCAACTTGGTCTCTCCCCTAGTGTATGAGATTTGAGTACAAAGGCATCCTCAAAGTCAGCTAGATTCACACCTCTTTGGGTCCTGGGAACCAAAGAACCCATTTGGGAGGCTAGTGGAAATCTGATCTGGAATGGGTGCTGGCATAAGAGGCTAGACACCCAGATCTTGCCTAATATGAAGTCTTAGGAAATATTGCCATTCTCCAACCTGCACTCCCCACCCCCAGCCCCAAGGGAAGTAGAATGTGGAGGGGGCAGGGTATCATGCAGTGCTAGGAGGTCTGTCCCCTGGGACTGTAGCCAAGGGACAGAGTCTCATGACCAATTTGTTAAGGGGGAACAACAGTAATTATCAGATTAAAAGGATATTGTCAACACTCAATATCCTGGAGGAAGTGTGAAGGGATTGGGTGTATTGATCTTTATGGTGGGAAGATGACCACTTGGGCACAGGCTGAGATACTTTCTTGTCCCCAGGTGAAGACACACCTCCAGGCACAGGCAACCTCTGAAATCGCTGTAGGGCACCAGTATAAGCATCAGGTGAGAGTTCCCCAAACCACTGGAGTACCCAACCATCTCCCAGCTTCCTGCCATTAGCTCAACTCCAGCCACAGCTCTGCCCAACCCCATCGAGTCCCACTCATCCTGCCCTGGAGCCCATTCTGACCCTCATGTGCCTTTGTTCCTCCCGACTCCCACACCTGTTTCTCCTGCCCCATTCTCTTGACCTGCTAGTGTCAATCCCATACCTCTGGCCTGGATTGGCAAGTGTTAGTAGACACTTGAGGGCCCGTAATCTGGCTCTAAGCTTACAGTGAACTGGATGTCTGGGCAATAGGTGCATGATCCTTCAAAGTGTCATCAGGAGGCAGTCCCTGATGGTGGGGTGACTGAGCCCCAACCCCATGGTCTTCCCCCCACCAGGGCATGTTTCAGGCACTAACCGAGATTGGCCAGAAACATGGTCTAGTGGGGTTGTGGCGTGGGGCCGTGGGCGGCCTGCCCAGAGTTGTCGTCGGTTCCTCTACCCAGCTGTGCACCTTCTCATCCACCAAGGACTTCTTGAGCCAGTGGGAGGTACTGCCAGGGCAGGGGTGGGGCCATCCCTGGAATGGGAAACAAGGGTGGGAGAAGGGAGGTGGGCCCTGGATGGGATGATGACAAGGTTCAAAAGTGAGGGAGCAGCAGGAAGGCTTGGGGCCATTGACTCCTGTCATCATTTCCTACCGGAAGGGGGTAACTTAAGCCCTCTGCACAGTCCTCCTTCACTTTTCACAGTTATCTCTGGTGGTATGGAAGTTTCCAGAAATTATGTTCCCAGGGGAGGGCCTGTCCCACCTTAAGGCTGATAAAATTCTTTCTCTTTCTTATAGATCTTTCCTCCACAGAGCTGGAAGGTGGCTCTGGCAGCTGCCATGGTGAGCGGCATCGCAGTAGTCATAGCCATGACACCCTTTGATGTGGCCAGCACAAGGCTCTATAACCAGCCCACTGACTCTCATGGCAAGGTAGGGGAGAGCTGTAGGGTTCAGCTGACTGGAAAAAGGGGGGGGGTGGAGAAGTGGACCCTCTAATGCTACCTGCAAAGGTGTCTGACCCTGGCGGGCTCTGACATGCTCCTCCTGTGCTCTCCCTCCCCTCTCTGACATACTCCAGGGCCTCATGTACCGGGGGATCTTGGACGCTCTGCTGCAGACAGCTCGGACAGAGGGCTTCTTTGGCATGTACAAGGGTATAGGTGCCTCCTATTTTCGCCTTGGCCCCCACACTGTCCTCTCCCTCTTCTTCTGGGATCAGCTTCGTTTCTTCTACAACACATACACTAAATGAGTCTCTCTACTGTACCCAAATCAACACTCTTTGGGCACCTCTGCCTCTACTTACTTACTATCTCAGTAACTATTTACTGACTGATGGACTCTCATTCCCCTAGGAGGACAAACACTCCCAATTCCTCTCTGTCCTCTTAGGGTTGAATCACTCTGAACAGTAATTTATGTCCTTCCCTTGAATATTGCTTTAAAATTCCCCATAAGTTCCCCTGTATACTTCACACCCATCTCAGGGTTGAATCAGATACCCCAAAGTATATTTCTTCTGCCATGCTTGGGTTTTTTCCTGTTCCTGTGCACAGCTTTAAAGTCCCCCTTCCAAGACCAAAGGGAATTGGGAGACCCAGGCCACGGAAACTATGATGTTTATAAAGCAAGTTTATTTCTGCAGAGGAGGTGTGTTACGTTTATGTCCAGGGAAGAGGTAGACACTCCCCCTCTCAAAACTGGGTCCCTGAGTCCCCAGCAGCAGTATGTTGTGTCCCACCATCTTTACTGGGGACCAAAGATGTTGGGGTCATGAAGAGTCAAACTAGTCACCAGTTGTTCAAAGTTATCCAGGCTCCAAGGTGGGCATGATAGATTTTCAGGGCCAAAAGACCTGCTGGTAGAGCTTGGGTGAGGGAACAGAGACAGAAAGAAAATGATTACATTTCCTATTCCCCAGAAGTCCAGGAATCCCTGATCCCACAAGCCCCTGGCCCATTTCTTCTTCCTCGAAGGAGTCCAGCAGCCAATCTTCCTGTTTGACCCACCCAGCCTAATGGGGGGGACACAATAGCGAGCTTCCCACCCTTTACTTCGTCCTTACGGGGGCTGATTGAAGGTGAGCAAGAGATCAGTCTGATACTGGGGCAGCCGGAGCAAAGCCTGATGTAGTGTGACATCCTTTGCTACCTAAAGGGATCAGAAGCAGGATGCTTATCAGGATGGTAACTGGAATTACCCCTCCCCCAGTTCATGACATCCCATTCGCCATGGCTCTCACCTGCTGGTTTTCTTTAGCTACCTGCTGCTTGCCAGAAAGGAACCAGGCTTCTTGACAGCAGCCCCTGAGGGATATGTTCTCCAAACAGAGAGGTTGCACAGTTAACACGTGCACGGACCTAGCCCCCTGCACTCCGCCAACGTCCTCAAAATGGTACCTGGAATGGGAGGGCAGGGGTACCGAGAGGCATCTCTGAATAACTCATCCCCACCCTCGAGCCTCACTCTCTTCTGGCCAATCTGCTATATCGCCCTTGGAGTTTTCGTCCTGAATAACCGTCCAGCCACAGGCCCCGCCCACTCCCTCAGCTCCTGGTCTCCCATTGGCTAGCTTTCTCACCGCGCAGCCGCCTCGCCCCGCACGTGGGCCTGCAGCTCCAGAAGTTCCACGATCAGACTCTGGTCGGTCACGGGATGGCAGAAAACTTCTTGGTTGTCCGGGACCGGTCGGAGGTCGCTGGAAGAGGGGCAGGGGCAATCTAGTCTCTGGTATCTTCCCGCAACCCACCCGACCGGGCTCGGGGCATCTGGGCTTTCTCACCTCACATCAATGGCCCCAGGGGGGAGGATGGCGGAGAAGGCGCCTCCGAATAGTGGAAAGTTTCTGGTGGGCTCCATAGATCTAAGACTTGAGCCTGGACATTAGCAAGTTTGTAAAGAAACTTACATGTGCCTTTGAGGCATCACTTCCTCTGGGGTCCCCGGAGCGCGTACAACCTCCTCCCGGCCTACTAAGCTCTTGGACCTTTAAGATCTGGCCACGCCCTGCGGTCACGCTGACCAATTGGCGCTCGCGCTTTGGGGGCGGGGCTTTCTTGGGGCTGTTCTCTAAAGCCCTGCTCTTAGGAAGAGTGGGTCTGTTTTGCTGTCCTGTTTGGGTTTAGGATTTGTGATACCCGTACCCGCTTGCTCCTTCATTTAAAAAGAGTCGTGCCTTCTAAAAAGGTCACTTGAGACCGTCCTTTAACAGTTTTCGCCGGGTGATGTTAGCGCGCACGCCTTTAATTCCAGTACTTGGGAGGTAGAAGCAGGCGAATCTCTATGAGTTCGAGGCCAGCCTGGTCTGCAGAGTGAGTTCCAGGACAGCCAGGGCTACACAGAAAAACCCTATCTTAAAAAAAAAAAAAAAAAAAAAAAAAAAAAAGCTAAGAAAAATTGTCCAATTAAAGTACCTATCTAGGTGAGGTCCCTGAGTAAGGGGAGAATCATTAGAGGGCGTTCTTGGGGAACTTGACCCCGAATGGGCTGGCAACCAGACCATTAATTCCCGGATCTCGTGCTGAGAATTAAGGGAAACAATAGGTTCAGATGTGGCTCTAGGTTAGGATTCGGACCTCAAGCCTTGACACCTAACCTGAGGATTACTGGTATAATACCCTTAAATCTTCCCCTTGGGAGGGCGAGGGGAAACTCTCCCCCCAGAACACCTGGACCAAAGCACAGATTAAACTGTTGTTTTTCCTTTACAGATTTTTAGAGTGTTCTTTTAAGTATTTGTTCAACTTTATCCTTCCAGTTAATTTCTCCATTCATCCTTAATCTCCAGCACCTGTTTAGAACATTATAGGCCTAGAGGTATATTGTTGCACCGCTGAATAAATCTACTAGTGCCAACACTTGGGAGCCAGGAAGCTACCAATGCCCCTCATGGGTTCTATGTAACATCTACTTCCCAGCTGAGAACTGAGTAAAGGGAGTCTCATCCTGGCCACATGAACCCTGCTAATGTACTGAAATGGATCTGAGGTTTACAAGTTTGTTGATGTCTTACATTGTAGTAATTTCCTTCTTGGGCTTGGCAATATAAAAGCATACCTTACTAAGGTGTAAAAGTATCAGTGGAGCTTGCTTTGAGTCTTTTTTTTTTAAAGCCTTATTTATTCGTGTATTTTATGTATATGAGCCCTCTGTCTTCATGCACACCAGAAGAAGGAATCTGATCCCACTACAGATGGTTGTGAGCCACCATATGGTTGCTGGGAATTAAACTCAGGACCTCTGAAAGAGCAGTCAAGTGTTCCTAACCACTGAGCTGTCTCTCCAGTGTTCTGCTTGCTTTGAGTATTAAAGTTGGTTTTACAGAGCTCCTGAGGGCATCCTAGAGGTATCCAGCCGGGACATAGGTGTACAAACTTAGAGGTGAGAGTGTATACTCTAGGAAATACAAATATATGGGAAGGGGAGGGTGGTGGGCACAAGTAGATGGCGGTCCATTACCATTGAATGCCCTCTCCTTCCTTCCCTGGCTCCCTGCTCCTCCCTGTAACTATGGTTGTCCCATCTTAACTTCCTAAGTCCACTGAGTATATGCTTGCTACCATAGATATGTATGTGCTACCACACTTACATTTGGATTCCTTATTTCTTACTGTAGGCTTTTCCTCATCTCTAAAGCACTGTTAGGACTGAAATGTGTTCAGGTATGGTGGCACATGCCTTTACTCTCAGCACTGGGGAGGCAAAAACAATCAGATCTCTGTAGTTCAGGACCAGCCTGTTCTCCTTAGTGAGTTCCAGGCCAGCCAGCATTATAATGTGAGACTCTTCCCCAGTAAATAAACAAATACATAAATAGAATTGAGATGTGGATGTAGCTGGCCAATCTATTTTTGGGTGGGTCTGTGACTAGGTTTGCTCCATAAGAGACAGGGTACTGCACGCCCCCGTGGGATAAAAGGAACCTGGTCATAGAGGTCTCTCTGTGTAGACCTTTCTGTTCCTCTTCCCCGCCAGAGCAACAAAAGCTCTAATTGCTTTGTACACAATCAAGCAGATCAAAAATCCATGGCTAGAGACCTCCAGCGACATAGATGCTGCTCGTCCCGGGCAGAAGAAGGAAGAGAAAGCTACTTCAGCCCCCCCATCCCCCACACACACACAGAGAATTGGAGTTCCTGGCACTCCTCGTGTTCATCTGTGGGCTACAGGTAGCTGGAGATCCCTGCCATTCCCAGTAGGGAGCAGAGCTGTACCGAGGCTCAAGGTCAGATCTCTTCTGTGGTGGAAGGCCCCTTGTCTTGGAAGGACTCTGGGTCTCTGCTGTTGGCTTGCCATCCCTCGGTATCTGCCATCTCTTCCAGTCTTCTCAAGGCTGACATCCCAGGTGTGTTCAAACTCTCTAAGAAACAGGTTGGTTTGTTGCCGTTGGGTCTGGAAAGCATCTGAGTGCAATAGGACCCTTGGCCCAGCTGCAGCTGGGAGGAGGAGTCCTGGGACAAATCTCTGAGATGGCACACAGCCTGTGTCTCCAGCAGGCAGCCTGCTGATGACAGCGAACCTACAACTGGGACAGGTGATTCTGTGCTCTGGGATGGTCCCTTTCCTTTGAAGGAACCAAAAGGCAGACTTTGAAGGATTAGAGAGATGGGTCAGCAGTTAAGAGCACTTGTTGCCCTTAGAGAGAGGCCCTGGGATTGGTTCCCAGTGCCCAAATGGTGGCGCACAACCATCTGCAACCCCATTTCCAGGGGGACCTCTGCCCTCTTCTGACCTCCACGGGCATCAGATACACATTCGGATGCCCACAGTTGCAGATTCATAGAATAAAATAAATCCAAAGGAAAAAGAGAAAAAAGACTTTGACCCCCTAGAGATACAGCACCTGGTGACAAGCATCCCTTTTTTAGAAGAGTTAAGGCTACACATTTGTATGCAGCAATTTTAAGCCTTCAGTCCTACCATGGGTCCCTTTCAAATTTTTGGTGAAACTCATGAATACTTACTCAGAAAAATGTTTGTAAATTATAAAATAAAATGTATAAAAACAAGAGAAACTAGTTTGTTGTCCTTGGAGGCTGGAAAAAGGTGTCAGATTCCCCCAGGACCTGGAGTTTTGTTAGCTACCCGAGATGGGTGCTAGGATACATAATCAGTGAGTCATTTCTCCAGCCTCATTACAGTGGTGGAGTTTTTATTATTCTAGATTTTCCTTAATATGAGTCTTTTATTTGCATGTATGTATGTTTGTGCACCACCTGTGTGCCTGCCACCCTCAGAGGGTGTCAGAGTCCCTGAAATGGGAGTTACCATGTGGATGCTGCTCAGCTGGGTCCTAAGATCAGCTGTCTTTGAGATCTCTAAGCATCTCTCCAGCCCCTACCCGAGTTTTGTTTGAAACAGGGTTGTTTTGTTTGGTTTGGTCTTGGTTTTGGTGTTTTGAGACAGGGTTTCTCTTTGGCTTTGGAGCCTGTCCTGAAACTAGCTCTTGTAGACCAGGCTGGGCTACTTCCTCTGGCTCCAGATCCCATGCCCCCCCCCCCATACACCGTTACTCAGTTACTTTGGGTCCTACCTGTGGTGTTTCCTGTATATGTAGACATATCCAGATGTCTATTTGCTTTAAAAAGTAAACAAAACCATTCACATCTTTTTTTTTTTTTTTTTTTTTTTTTTTTTTGTTTTTTTGAGACAGGGTTTCTCTGTGGCTTTGGAGGCTGTCCTGGAACTAACTATTGTAGACCAGGATGGTTTTAAACTCACAGAGATCCACCTGCCTTTGCCTCCCAAGTGCTGGGACTAAAGGCGTGTGAGACAGGGTTTTACTATGTAATCCAATATGGCCTTGAATTTGAGGTAGTCCTCCTGCCTCAGCCTCCTAAGTGCCAGAATGTCAGGTGTGCCACCATGACTCACTAAAAACTACCAGGTGGTGGTAGAGCACATCTTTAATCCCAGCACCCCGGAGGCAGAGGCAGGTGGATCTCTGTGAGGTCAAGACCAGTTTGGTCTACAAGTTTCAGGACAGCCAGGAGTATACAGAGAATATCTGTCTCAAAAAGAAAAAAAAAAAAGAGAACTATTTAATTTATGTGCATGAGTATGTTGCCCATATACATGTATGTGTGCACCATCAGTGCTGGTAAGTGCTAAGCCATTCTCCCCTCCACCAAAGTAGATTATAGATTATGCGTTATTCATTTACTAATTAGGTGTTGTTTGTTTTTGTTTTGTTTTGAGGCAGGGTTTCTCTGTATAACAGTCCTAGCTGTCCTGGAACTCAGTATGTAGACCAGGCTGAGCTCAAACTCACAGAGATCTGCCCCCATGCCTGGCTCATTCTTTCTTCCTTCCTGTTTGTTTTTGTTTTTCAAGACAGGGTTTCTCTGTTAGTTTTGGAGCTTTGTAGACTAGAGCTGGTCTTGAACTCACAGAGATCCACCTGCCTCTGCCTCTTGAGTGCTGGGATTAAAGGCGTGTGCCACCAACACCCTGCCTTTCTTTTTTTTTTAAGTGAGCCCTCCTACTCCCAGCCTTTGTGTGTGTGTGTGTATATATATATATATATATAAAGTGCAAACAGTTGTGAGCCACTGGGATTTGAACCCAGGTCCTCTGGAAGATTAGCCAGTGCTCTTTAACCACTGAGCCATCCCTCCAGCTCATTTAGTTTTCTGAGACAAGGTCTTACTCAGGCTAGCCCAGAATGGCCTTCCCTGGGGCTCCTGAGAGTGCAGGAATTACAAACCAAGTGTAAGCAACTCTGCTAGGCTGAAGTAGAATAAAGTACTTAAATACATTTATCAAGATCCAGAGCTTATCCAGGCTTGGGAGCTGGGAACCAGATCATGGTCCCTCTATAAGAGCTCTTAATGTCCAAGCCATCTCTCAAGCCCCAAGAAAATAAAAACCTTAAAGTTCCTCTTTGGCTGCATAGTAAGGGCAAAGCCATGGAACTCTGGCAGGGATGAGGAAGAGGCTGTTAGGTCTCCAACCTGGGCCAAAGGCTATCTGAGGGGCCTATTCACCGTATCAAAGTGTACATGGCCTCCGGGT